CATTAAAGAATCATCCCATTTACAATAATTCTATTGTGCATGTGTACGAGAAATGTCCCCCCTTTGGAAATGGCCTAAAGACACTTCTGTCAGTGGCACCGCCCGGGGGGGGTGCGCACCATTTGTCTTTCCATACGTTTAATTTCATTTTGTTGTTGTGTGTTATAGTTTTTCTATAATTAATTTTTTAAAAATCACATCACACAAACCCGACGGCCGTGGCCTCTTCCCAACACCTCTTCCACCAAGAGTGCGTGGTCGCTACGCGCAGTCTCATTGGTCGACATAAATAACTTTGCCCCCGGCCAGGCCAACCCAACTTGGTTGTTCTGGGGCCAGTTTAGATAGATCTAGTAACTGGATATTAAAGCTCACGTCTCGATTGTTATCATTAAAACGAAAAAAAAATTTCTTAAATGCTGGAAATATTTAAGAAATTCTTAGAGTCCGAATATAATTTTTGTCTGTTCGGACTCCATTAATTTTTCACGAATCCACCCCCAACCCCCCCCTTCACGCCTCACACACACACACACACACACACACACACACACACACATGGGCCACTCCTTTCGTAAATAACCAACAAATTTTGAGAATGGATACCGGAGAAATAGAGTTCAAGTTTATGTTCTCGAGCGTTCGGAGAAATAGAGCCGGCCGACTAATAATGATCTAGGCTAAGCAGGTTTTGGTCTAGTCTAGATCTAGATTATTAAATGTCTAAGTTAAATGCTGGCTTCTACAACAGTAGTCTAAATTGAAGTCAAAATATGGAAGGAATTCCACAGAGGGCCGGACAACCAACAACACACAAAAGAGGGGATATTTTGAGCGGGGTAGATCTATACCTTAACCGTAACCTTAACCATAAACCCTAACCCTAACTCTTGTTAGCCTGTAACATAATTTGCTCTGTGGACCATGTCACGGTAAGTGCTGGCCCTCTGCGGAACTCCTTCCTCCCCAAAATATGTGAGGCAGAAACATTAGCTTTGCAGTTGGAAATGATCGTTTTACTTTGACCCTTTTGCCTACCCTTACTCAAACGTACTGCTGCTCTGATCATACAGCCAGCCAAGAAAATAGTTTTCCGAATTGTTGATATGATATATGCAGAGGAGGGGTGGCATTGGTTGAGTGCTTAATTTTATCAATGCTTGGAAGGGCCTAAGGGTGGAAGCAAAGGAGACTTTCAATCATTTCTGTATTTAATCGGTCAAACGGTGGTTCTAACGAGATGCAAGCACAGGTGGCATTTAATGTTGTTAAGAGTGCTATCTATGCCATTTCACTGTCAGAGAGGCTAGTATAGGGCTTGTGAAATTCCGAAATGTGAAGTTTTGACCACAGCTTGCTGACTGGACACAGGCTACCCGTGATCCCACCACATACTATACTATTGTAGTGACTTGGTGAGGTGTTTCGTCATGGCATGCAAAAAAAACTGGAGTTCGATTCCCTTATGGGGAGAATTTTTCATGAATATTTCGGTTTTCTGCTTGCTGGGATGTTGTATCCCTCTCAGCCGGGGTTGGTGGAAACCCACCTTCAAACTGATGGGGCGTAAACGTCCTACATTTTAAAAAAATGTTAACCAGCTTGCACTCTGGTCTCCCAAAATTTCCAGGCTGTCATAGATGGAATTTTTTTTCTGGCTGCTTTGAGATTCCATCTTGGGCAGGTTTGGTTTGACTGTAATCGAAATGAAGGGTATAATTCAGTGCTTCCACTCTTCCGTATTTTTACGGAAATCCGAACTTTCTGCCAGTTCCGTACTTGTTCCTCCATCATTATCAATTCCCTCCTTAAAAAGCTGCGACAGGGTAGGACTACCGATATTCCGTAGCAAAAGATCCGTACTCGCCTTCGCATCGTCTATAGGAGTATAAGTTACGGAAATTTGCGGTAATTCTCTCGGCAATAAGTTAATGTTATAGAAACCTGCTAGATTGCACATTTCCTGCAATCGGCCATTATCCCGCTGTGCCCTATGCATTCATTGTGGGTTGGTCAGCAGTACATTTTTACCTGTGGATTGATTAAAATCTGGCAAACTTTTTGTCCCGGTTTCCTCCTTTGTATCATTCGGATTGCTGCCGCGGCTGGAAAATCTGCGCGTTGATCAAGTAAATTGACTTGTGATCTTAGACGGAAAACTACTGTCAGAAAGAAACTTTTTTTTACAAATTTGTATAGATCTAGAAAAATGATCAATACGCAGATTCTACGGCACGGGAACGCGATAAGAGCCTCGATGAAAGAAATTTATGCTAAAAAAGCCAGCCTAGAAGTACTACAATCAAGAATAATTTGAAGTGGTGTTCCGAGGTTGTGACGTGCGACATTCAGACGTGAAATTTAAGGAAAATAGGGTATACGCCGGGTAACTGTATTGTGAAGGTACATATCTATTCATTATTCCCAGGTTTGCCTTCTATCAATGGTGCGATGACAAATTAATTGAATTATAGTAGCAATGGAAGGGGAACCTGCTTTTAAACATTGCCATCAATGGAAATATATTTTGTTGATCTTGGTGAAGAAATCAAACAAGACAAAATGTTGGTGAAAAAATAAATGTATGGTTTGTAGGCAATCTCTTCAAACAGGCTCCCAGATGCCATTGTCAACCCTCTAAAAGCACTAAATTTCAATTTCTTCAGGGGCTTTGCCCCCTGAACACCCACCAAGACGCTGTCCCTGGACACTGCTGGGGGCCTATGCGGCCCCCCAGACCCCCTGCAGAATTTCCCTTACTTTTCAGCTTCAACGGGTGGAAGCAGTGTATCTATTCTATTTGTGGTGGCCGAATTTTGCTATTCAAAAGGCTATTTAATGGCTGCATCGATCCACATGCGGTTTTCGCCAAAAAATTCTTTAAAATATTCGCCAGATCATGGCGCCCTTGGTTTTTTTCAGTTTTGAGACAGTTTTGCTGCAAAAACCTAAATTTCTTTATTTCGCTGATCGCTTTTTGTAGGCCGACGCTTCTGTCTCTGTAATTTTAGAAAATCCGGAAGTGTTATTTCATGAGGCGCATTTTGTTTTGAGAGTATAGATCTAGACCTTCTCATTTTTTGCATCTCTCAAGATTTATTTCCCCATTCCAGTAGAGTGTAAATATAGTAGGCCAATGACTTTTAGTTGATATTAAAGCACCGATCATCCCTTTCATCGAAAGGGGGCCCAGCTAGTATAATTATAATATATAGGCTTTGGACTATAAAATGAATTTGAAAAGCTTTAAACTTAACTCTTTAAACCCTGAGTTTTTCCACAGTTTCCCGCTGTTTTTTCTACAGTCACCTATACCTGGTGTGCTAAGCTCCCAGCGTCCGATGGGGGTTTTAAGAGTTAATCTGTGGGTGGTTGGCGGGTGCTCTGGTGTGATTTGCTCCTTTTTTCCTATCAAACATCAATCATTTTTATCTCCCCCCCTTCTTTTTTATTTTTGTTACTGAGCGCCGTAAAACCTCTACTAAAAAACAAAAACAGAGTTAATCTTTATGGTTGCTTACTTTCCACTAACACCTTTCTCTCTGACTTTTATTAGTTTTATGACCATCATCCCCTTTATCATTGCCCAATGAATGGTAAAAGTTGTTGTTTTCCCTCTTCGCCAACAAATTAGAATTCAAATATAATATCTCCTTAAACTTTTACCAATTCTTAAGAAGATGCAGTGAACAGTAATTTTGACTCTCTGTGATTTTGTCCTCTCAACTTCACTGGACTGTCAGCACTGATATTCAGATATATATATTTTTTATATTTTAATTTCAGTCATGTTTAATTTTCTTCATGTATAATTTAAGTGGAAATGTGTCAAGGCCTATAATGTTGTGAACTTTGTGAAGTATGAAGTGTCACGCTGGAGTAATTAAAATTTTATTTTACAAAACAAATGCTATTGTTTCATTTTGGTAGGGAGTTGACTCATGGATTGTCCTTTTGATTCTGATGAGTTGCTGGCGGTACTGAAAATATTTTATGACAAATTATGTACAGTAGTGAGTAGTCTCCGCCTAAGATCCCACCGCTTAGGATCCCGGTTCGCTTAAGATCCCGCTGTTTTAAGGAAACAGAATTTTTACTATACAAAAGTCACCCCTAAGATCCCGCCCTGATTCACTCTGAAGGTCTACTTTCGGCTAAGATCCCACATTTTAGATAATAATTTGCGGAACAAAAACGCGGGCGGGACAGCCGATCAACTAAGAGTGAAAAGTTGAGATCGATAAACTGCCCGTCACGTCAAAGATCAGCCACTATCGTGAATCTGATCACATACACGTTGTAAAACTCGATGAAGCGATACAAAGTTTGCCCCAGACGGGATCACACCGGAGTGTGAACTGACCGACACGTTTGTTTTCCCCGAACATGGCACTCACACCTGAGCTATCCCCCTAAACTTACATCACTCGCTGGGTGGGTAGGGCCTATACGTTCGCTCCAGGCGGGATCACATTGAACTGAACGCTTCCCTGACCATTGCAGAGGTTGTCTCTTCTCCTGAATTTGCGAGACAGACTGAATTTTAATTTGTGTATTCACTCCATAATGGTGTGTAACGACAAAGGCGGTTTGGGGGGGGGGGCGCTCGGTCAGAGATGCAAAGCTATAGTTTTTCGACAGGTAAGGTGGAGTGGCAACTGGATAAGTGTAGATCTTGAGACTCATGATAGGATAATAAGTGAAAATGGCTCGCTTCATCCCACTATGCATTGTGATAGGTCATTAACCACTCTTTGCTTGCCATACATCATAAACCCACCAAGCGATCACGTCAGTTCATTTTAGAATGGAGGGAGACCATTTTACCGATTGTGAGCCTTAGCAAGGGTCACCATAGATTCTTCCCTGGGTTCGTTGGTTAAGATCCCGGTTCGCCTAAGATCCCGCATTTCCTTGCTCCCGAGCACCGGGATCTTAGGCGGAGACTACTGTACTTCGTGATACTCCTTTTCAGCTTTTCTTGATAATTTTTTCCACAGGCATTCCAATTTCACACCAGCACCTGATTTGGCAGTCAGTTGAGCTTGAAGATGATTATTGCCTACATGATTACAACATCCACAATGGGGCAACACTGAAGTTGGTGCTTGCAATGAGGGGAGGTCCAATCAACACCCGAAGGAGTAAGTTTATAGTGATCAATGTTACTTTTTTTTTGCACATATGGATATATAGTGAAAGTGCATTTTTTTCCAGAAGGATTGTTTTGATTGTATGAAAATGGAAAAGCTAGAGGAATAAAAGACTGAAATATGGTGAAAGTGAATTGATGTTTCTTTCTATTTTTTCCCCAGTATTGTCAATATCCATTGTATTAGAATGCCAACAAGAAAATAAGCTTTTTTCTGAATTTATATCATGCTTTTCAAAAGACTGAATCAAAGAAATTTTCTCTGATTCCCTGTTCTTTTCTGATATTTAACCCCCCCCCCCAAAAAAAAACAACAAACAAAACAACAACAATCGTGCAAAATAGCTCTTTGCATGTAAGCTGCTGTTCAACATGTTGTCTTTTTGTAGTTATTTAGTCTATATATACACGACGTCACTTTTTGCCCGTTTCTGTTACTTTTAGTTCGCGTGACCCAGCAGCCCGCCGGAGTCACAGGTTAATGAGCCCTGAGTCGACTTTGCCGGTGTCGGTTAGGAAGTTCGCATTTTTGACTATGTTTAAAACGATATAACTTCTTCCCCATCCCACATAGCTAACCATTACGCGGATGTACTAAAAGCTCAATGTCTTGAGATTTATTTTGCGTTAGAATTGTTAATTTCAGTGCCTTAGTTTTTGTTCTAGACCAGTGTTTGTAGAGTACCCAATTTGTCCTATTTTAGTTACAAACTTATGAATAAATGATTGTTAATTTTAAAAAGGCATGACAGATCTCTCCAAAATCTGTGTTAAACTGACTACGAATATCATGTTTTTTACCATGAGAAATCTTAAATCTGCGCGAGTAGAAATAGTCAAGTTATAAGAGAAGAAAGATGCACATCTGCATTTTTAAACTAAAGACTATCAGCGTTAGCTCTTATTTTACTATTAAACAAGAGAAAGTTACTCTGCGTTTGTTCATGAATCATGCTGTGTCTGTGGCAGCCTGCATACAACTAAAAAGATATAATATAGAATCTAAGCGATTAAAAATCCCACAAAACCATGTAAAGACATGGGTAGAGATAAACTTCTTGTATGGAATAAAAATATTGACAGCTAACACATTCATTCTTAGTTTTTGCGTCGGAAATATGCGCGGACACAATATGTAAAGAAATCAGTCACATTGTCAATTATTGCAAATGGTCATAGAAACGAAAAATAAAGCTGGAAAAGTCTGGTGCTGATTCAGTGTCCCTGGAAAGCTAGAAATTATTCTTATAACCCAATTACGAAAAGTCATCCCTATTATTCAGTCAACTTACAAAACCTAGACTTAGTGTTTTAAGAAAAGTAAGGAATTTCTGGAGTGTAACTGATGCTGTTCGTGTATTAGATTTACGTTGAAGATATATTCTAGCACTAAAATCGATTTATACTTTTCATAGAGAAACTTCATGGTGACTTTTATAAACTTTCGAGAAAATATGCGAATATTCACGATTATATTAGACACGTAAAGTTATATTTGGAGGAATTACTTCATAGCGAATTGTGTGCCTGATGGATAAAGTTGCAAAATTACAGCTTTCTATTATATGCGCAGATACCATCTTTTCTGAGTATCTGCACCAATGCTATGTCGTTCATGTTCCAAAAGTTCCACAGATTTTGACGATGCCTTTTGTTATATTGGTTTTTTTTCATTCACGCTAGTCCCAAAAAAATTACAGTTTAGCATTGCCGACTCCAGCGCGTCTAACGAAATAACCAGACAAGTTACAACGTCCGTTCTTTTTTGAGTCTCGAGCAGAAATGCATGCTTTGGGTGCATTAAATGAGAATTACCATAAATACAAGGATACACCTTAAATTGTACGTTGAAAAGTACCAAAAATTAAGTTGGCCCAGACAGAGCGGCGACAGGGAGCTGACCCCTGTGACCCCGACGTGATAAGGCGCCCGGCGGGGAACTCCCCGCGGCAACTAAAATTCTACTGCTCTCCAGAGCCTACAAGTCATAAGTGAGAGTACAGTTTGAGATGCCCATCACCAGTTCGATTTGAATTTTTATTGTGATAATTGGAAGTCTTTTTAGTTGTGATGACTAGACTAATTTTGTTCCTTGTCTTGTGTCTTTCACCTTTTTGCTTGTTGTTTTTATCATCAAGGTCATCAACATTGTCATTTTAATGCATTTCTGTTGTGATGTATAAATGACAGATCCATTATTTGTTATCTTCTTTTTTAGTTCCAGTGGAAGATTCTGCCATCAGAGAAATGGCAGAGTATATGGAAGCAAACAGAGATGAAATTTTGGACAAGTTACCTGGCAACAGTAATGTGACTCTGCTAGTTTTTCGAGAAGGGGACAAACTGAACTTTTTCCGAGTGGTTGACCCTCGCCCAGATGGCAGCCTCACACCACTGTCTGAGTCAGAAGCTGTATAGTGAGTAGTTCCTATTATTTGTATACTTCATACAACTGTTATGGATTACTTGGAAAATGAGCGCCTCTGGTAGAGTGGGTGGTTGATTGGATCCATACCCATTCTATCTTCCTCTAGCAGTGCATGCTGAAATACTAAACTGCTGGGGTTTTTTTCTGAGTCAGTGTTGTGCTCCTGGATTAAGTGTAACTTTGTTGTAAAAGTATTGCTGGGGAAATATCTTTTTATAAAGTTGAAGTGCTGCTGACTTTAGGCTATTCAGCCAAGAGCTGTGTTCACTCGGGAGTGGGTGCTGTAGAAATGATCTACATTATTATTATTATACTTACTTGTTCTTATGCTCAGTAGAATTGTGAATGGGCTGATTTATCAATGTCAAGCTCATTCTGTGCCGAAACAACATAGGGGGGACTGCTACTTTTTTTCCCCTCATGCTTACTATTGTCATTTTTCCTCTACTTGTTTTGTATGTTTGTTACTCTCTTATGAATTTGGGGTGCCTTGACAGTCGAAGCAGACTTTGTACTGTTGAGGCTTGAGAGGTGAGCAGAGTAAGCCTGATTCCCCGTTTGGACGCCCATATGATCTTATACAGTTGCAAGCGCCGTAAAACCTTACTAAAACTAAACTAGAGCTTTGGAAGGTGAATGATTTTTGGTGTGGCGAGACATGATCAGCTCCTGTTTGAAGCAAAAGAGGCACATGCCATCTGCGATCAGCCATAACTCGAACAGCTTTGTTTTTATTTGTTGAAACTCTAAACCGTTGGGGCTGCTGAAGTGACATTTTATAACAATCAGGATTCTTTCAGGCGTTTCCTACTTTGCTAATCACTGTTATATGATGCTGTAGGTAAAATTTTATGTGCTCGACAAGTAGTTCTTAAAAAGAGCAGTTGTTCTCCTCTTGCCTGTCCTTGGTGATACGTAAGCCATCCCTCCTGAAATGAAAATTCATGATACAACATTGAAAAATGTTGATAGCTTCAAATATGAATGCAGAAATTCATGTAGCTTTATGTATGAGAATAAAGCTTGTGAAATGTCTCAGGAGAAGTCTTAGCATCAAATGGCAGGACAAGATACTAAACAAATACAGTCAAACCTGCCCTGACAGCCGCCTCTATAAGACGGCCTCCTGTACAAACGGCCACTTTCCTTTTCCCCCCTTGCGTTTTTTCTATATAATTTAACTGTGTAAAACGGGCACCTGTCCAACACGGCCGTGGCAACCATATTTGAACACACAACCCCTATCACACTAAGCAATAACACCTGTCATTACGTTTTGTCATAAATTTTGCATTGGCCCCTGGCGTTGTGGGCGAGCCGTCATAATTCAATCACCTGTCGTTGTTGTTAGGTAGTCCCTCCAACCGATCATGTTGCGTAGGCCCCTCCCACTGTTGACCAATAGCTACTAATTTTCAGCTGCTGGTGAGGTAAGCGTGTGATCCCTCATAACCCATAAGCCCCGCCCAGAACTCATTCGCAAAATCGTAAGAGAGATGAGGGGGTCACTGTTTACCCAGTCTGTAACAAAGTAACAAAGGACGTCAACATGAACTTGTGACAGAAGCGTCGCTCGTTCTCCGAGTGATGGTGACCCATGTGTTTGTTTTAACATGGCACTCGGTCTTCCTCATCTGATACATTTCGTTTTATTGTCACCCTTGTGCAAAGTCAGCAACAAAATAAAAATTACAAACAAAATACAAACCACCACCACCACCAAAAACAACAACAAGACGGCTACTTTCGATTGGGACCTCAGATGGGAATGTTTTGTTTTCTTCATCTTGATCAGTCCTGCCAAAGATGGCCACCTGTCTTATACGGCCACTTTTCTCCTAGACAATGGGTGGCCGTCTTACACAGGTTTGACTGTACCAAATTCTCAAAGGGGCAAATCCATTGAGTTTGTTTTTGAAACTCTAAAAGAACTCAATTTTAATGGGCTGTCCATGTTGTAAAGATGGCTGATTTCAGAATTCCAAATTCAGTGTTCAGTCTGTGGGAGACACACTGGAAGAAACAAATATACAATAAACTTCACAACATCATGCTCCAACTGGGTCAGCAAAAACTTTCGGGCGTCTCCAGAAAAGACAAAGTCATTTTTCCTTGATAAAGTATCGGACACACCTCCTAACACATAAATACCTCCTACAAGGGGAAGACCTCGTGGAACCTGGAGAAGAGTCACGGAAATGGATGTACAGAAAAGTGGGAAGACGTGGAGTGACATCAAGCGACTAGCCCAGGATAGGGAAAGGTGGAGTGTGTTTGTTCGTGGCCTATATCCTGACCCAGGGTGAGAAAGGCAATGATGATGATGACTGACAAGGAGATGAAAAAATCATTCAGTGACGGATGCGACACAGACTTCTCCGTTAGACACATCTTAACAGAATGTTCAGACTTTGGAGAGTCCTGAAGGAAGTATTGTAAATGCAAAAAAATTGCAAGATTTGTTCCTCATTGTTGATCCCAACAGAATTCTTGATTTTATAAAGGCCATTGGCCCTTACAATAAATTGTAAATACTGTTGTTTTAATCTAAAGCAAATTGTCATTTTTAATTTGAATATTTTACCACAAATTTTAAACGTTTTAAACAAAATCATTGACCTAAACCGACAAGCCGTGCTTTGAACTGTTGTGAATGCAACCAACTTATGTTTTGCGCGCTTATATGACCTTATGCAGTTGCAAGCGCTGTAAAACTCTACTAAACTAAACTAAAAGGCAGTATTCTATTTTTAACTGCCGTCAGGGAAAAGTAACATTGGAGCACCAAAACAAGTGCTCTGAACACATTCTGAAAATGTCTCTGAAGAAATTCAACATTAATCCCTTGACATGGAGAGCCTAGCCTTTGGCAGATGCAGTTGGAGAGCAATAATCAGAGGGCAGCGAATCATATGACGTTTCACGAATTAGAAATGCTGAAACTAAGAGAAGCCCACAAGCTGTGCACGTCCACAAACAGAAATGAAGCTTTCAAATGCTCAAAATACTTGGTCTCATTGGCCACAGCAGAAGACAGAAATCGTCTTAATTCTTATTTCTTCTATTTCTCTTACTGTAAGAAATATTCTCCTCTGTAAATGCATTGGTCATCTTCAGACATTGACTGATGAACTATTATTATGTGCTTGATGCTATTCCGAAATCAGAACTTAAAGCTTGGGTAGGCTTCTCTTCTTTCTGCATTCAATTATGACTATAGGCAGTAAGGGGATGTGTGTTTGTGTGTGTGTGTGTGTGTTAATGTTTGTTTTTTTACATGTCCTGCATCATTTATGGTCCTTCTGACCACCTGTGATTGATGATTAATTTAGAATGGTTACACATTCAGAACTCATGACACACAACCCCTATCACACAAAGCAATAACACCTGTCTTAGACGGCCACCTTAGTGACTCCTTTACGTTTTGTCATAAATTGTGCATTAGCTCCTAGCGTTGTGGGCGAGCTGTCATAATCAAATCACCTGTTGTTGTTGTAAGATAGTCCCTCCAACCCGTCATGTTGCGTCGGCCCCACCCACTGTTGACCAATAGGTACCTGGTAACAAATTTTCAGCTGCTGGTGAGGTAGGGCGTGTGATCCCTCATAACCTATAGCCATAAGCCCAGCCCACAACTCATACACAAGTTGTTAATGAGATGAGTGGTTACTGTTTACCCAGTCTGTAACAAAGTAACAATGGACGTCAACATGAACTTGTAACAGAAGTGTCGCTCGTTCTCCGAGTGGTGGCGACCCGTGTGTTTGTTTTACCATAGCACAAAAGATAAAAAGAAGAAAAAACCCTCAGCGAAAACAACAACAATAACAACAACAATGTGGCTGTCTTCGGTTGGTGCCTCAGAAAGGAATGGTTTGTTTTCTTCATCTTGATCAGTCCTGCCTAAGACGGCCACTTGTCTTATACGGCCACTTTTCTCCTTGACAATGGGTGGCCGTCTTACACAGGTTCGACTGTATATCTTTGTTTAGTGCCACTATGATTCACTTTCCAAGTATGTTCGTATTTTCTTTAACTCCTTGGAGTTGAAATCTAAATAAAGAAAATGTTACACATTATTGGTTCCAATGAACCGAGATAGAAAAACAAACTTTGCTTGGTGTTTATGAAGTATCAAGGTCTGACGGAGTCTAATCCTAATCCTGTTATGGAGATTAGTCCTTGGCAGTTCAATGTAGCTTGACTCATGGGATTAGTCCCAATATTGTATTGCGGTTCACACCAAGCTTTTCTCAGCATTTCCTTGCATAAGGAGTACTCTGTAGTTGTTTTATAGTGAAATATATTTTTTGTATATGGAGTTTAAGTAGCTCTGAGTTAAAGATGAATTTGTTTTTTGCAACAGCAGTTCAGCCTACAACATGCGTGATGATGAGGATGATGATGATGAAGACACCCCTAGTAAAGAAAAGACGGAGGAAAATAGTAAGATGAAAGAAAAGATGGACCAGCTGAGGATCAATATGGAGAAAATAAGTCTAACAAAGAAGGTAAGATTTTGTAATTTTGCTGCAAGGGCACAGAATAAACAAACCTGGGATAGATTGAGGACAATTTTATTATCAATGATTTATTGTGAAAAGATTTTGTTTTAAGGCCAAGATACTTTATTTCCTGTTTCAATGATTTTGATTTTTGTCACCATGCCCATGTTGACAATAGATTAGTTGTGTGGTAATGTCTGAGTATAGCGAGAGTACATTTGTAAAACTGTTTTTTGCCTCGGAAGTAAAAGGAGGTGATTTTGAGTTGTCAATATTTGTACTAAAAATATCCAAGTTGTGTTTGCGTTCTTCTAAAAAATGTAAGTTTAGATAGTTACAAAGAATGGCAGAATGTAAACTGGATGTTTGGTTTGGTTTGTTGATAAAGTTGATAAAGCCCTGCAGTTTTGTAAATCTTTGGTTGTTTTCTCTAACTTTTTCCTGATCTTGTAATGAAAGGGTCATATTTTCGATGTGCTTTTATGAAAGAAAATCTTTTTAGTGTATCTTTCAACGATATATCTCAGGAGTTTTCAATGGTAATGTTTTTTTTTTTTACCTAGAGTTATATGATTTTAAAACATTAATTGAAAGTCTTGTAGTGACATGAAATGCTTTGTGAACTTTGAATTTGTAGTAACAACAGAAAAAAGAAAATGTTTTCATTCATTCTTTCAAAGTTTTGTGTCGAACGTAACATGTTGAATTATTTTCTAAGAGATATATACTTTGGTAATTTCCATTATTGTGCATAACCAGTTTACCACATTAAGTGAAGGAAGATATTTAACGGTAAACTTCTGCATGACATGGGGGGTTACAGGGAGGAAACCCATCTCATACTTTTTATTGAGCTTTACTGGTAAAAAATATTTTCAGAGAAAGTATAAGACACCATCTCCTGGCCATGGTCCTCACTCAAGTGTTGCTCGTATGCGACTGAGGGGTTTGCCCAGTTCTGGTCGATCAACGTCCGCCTCCGTGAACCAGACCTTGAACAAAAACATGTGCCTACCACCAGTCGGGCACACGTTTGTCAGCCCACAGCTGGATGAGGTGGACTGTTCTCGAGGGGCTGCCAGTGCCAGTGCTTACTCTGTTGCCGTTGATACACTTGCTCAAACAGCAGCTGCAGCAGCTGATACCGAGTCGTCACTTGTAGCTGTGGCTTCAAATGCAGGAGTCCTCCCCACAACAACCTCTGCAGAGGTGACTGTCATTGAGAAGAATGAGTCTGCTGCTTCACCACTAGAAGTAAAGCCTAAGGAAGGAAGGAAAAGTGCTGATGCTGCTGGGGCCGAGGGAGCAAGTGCTTCTGCCTTAGCTGCTGAAGTCTCAGCGACCAGAGTTGCTGAAGATTTTCCGTCCCCATCTCTTGCACCCCACCCTCCTCCTGCAAATACCTCCAATTTCCGCAGGGACCTCCTCAGATTGAGCGGTCTGGCTGAAACCCCTCACAATTACACGGCGGCATCCGCCCGGAGACGGGAAGCCATTTCCATGCTAGAAACTCTTCAGGAAGCCACCACCAAAGGCATATCTCAATCGACTTTCGCAGGTGGCAGTGGAGATGAAGGTGGGAAGACAATTGGGAAGAGAAAGGTGTCTGAAAGGTGGGAGGCTTCTTCAACCAGTGCCAGTAACAACCCTAGTGCTGATCCGTACAAGAGATCACCAATTTCATCTCATAAGGACTTTGTGTTAGATTCTTTTATGCGGCCGAGTACCACTACTCGCCGTAAGGAGTTTGCTCTTGAAGGTTTAACCAGCAGTGAGGCTCGTACGGTTTCGGGTATGCTCCGCCAGGCTTCCATTGAGAAAATTGGCTCCTCTCACATCGGCAGCATAGTGTCCAGTGCCAGCAAGTCGCGAATGGGGAATTACTGCAGTATACAAGAGGCTGGGCGTATAACAACGCCTGAAAGTCGGATGGTGGTAAGTTGCCTTGTTACATCTCAGCATTTATTTACATCTTGATGTGATCATGGCTGTTGTTACATCAGGACAAAATCTGCTGTCACTATTATATACTGTATGTTGCAAGTACATTTGGCTGAAGTGACAACTCTTGTTTCATTTTACATTTCCTTTTGTGCAATAGAATAGCTGCTAACGAAGTATTGCATGTTTGAAGTTGCTGAGAAGGTTTGTTTTAGATGAATAGTCTTGTCCTGATCTGATATTTGTCTTCTTTTTTATTTGGAATTCCCTATGATAAAAGCTCTGATTGTATGGACAAAGTGTCACAAAGCTCATAAATTGGCGTCTCATGTAAAGATAAATATTGACGTGCTCTTTTTGTGGTGTTCATCTGCTTCTTAAATTTCCAAATTAGTGGAAAAATAACTCACTGGTAATTTAGATTTGGCCATAGTAACTTAATTCTATCCCTATCACACCAGACCATTTTCTTCACGGTGACAGAAGCATTTTGGTGTCCATTTTTTCTTTCTGAGTGTAATCTGGAAAATATATTTTGTTCTAATTTATAAGAAACTAAAATGTGTTGTATATCAAAGTGTAGGAAAATGAATTTCCCAACAGACCATTCAAAGAAAAAAAAAAGTGATCTGAGCATAAAATAATGGTTTGTGCGAGTCTGAAGACTTGAGTGAAGAGATTGAAAGTTTGTCAAGCCACAAAATGCTTGTCATGGCCAGAAACATTGGTTGCATGAAATGTGGCTGGTGATAGTTAATGAATTTTTTTGGTTGGAAAAAATAATGACCTTGGAGATTCAAAAAGACGTCTTTGTCCACATCTGATATATTTTTGCAAACCTCTTTTTCATTCAAATGCTTTTAATTTATGGTTTTAGTATTTATTACCAAAGCTGTACTTTCAGTTTTGTTAGAGTAAATATTTTGTTTGACTTCTCTAAATTGCTATCAATGAAAGTTATTGTTCCTATTTGTTTATCACATTTTTAATTGTCTATCATGAGAAGACTGAGTAAAAAGTCGAATCACCTTACCATTGGATTCTCTGTACACACTTTTTTGTTTTTGTTACATCTGCAGTCTGCAAGACTACAGAGAGTGTCTGCATCTGGTGAGAGACACCGCATTTCTCCCACTCATCGCCTTCCCCCTGTCAAAGTGAAGAAAAAGCAAAAGAGGTGTTTTTTGTGCGGCAAGAAGACAGGGCTTGCCACAAGCTATCAGTGCAGGTGAATAGATTTTTTAGTTGATGTCATTCTGTTGTCTTTTATGGGGAACAGGAAAATTAGTTTTTCAGTTGTGTAAGTACTTTTGAAAACTAAAATCCTGACAACACTCACCCTCCGAAATAACTTAACAAATTCAGGGCTCTCGCTCCCTTTGTAATATGAGAGCGGATAGTTCATGGCAGTGCTTTTTCATGGTGGTTGGCTCCAGTGTTGTGCACATACAGACCTGATTTATTGGTTATGTGATACCCATCCAATGATCCTGACTTCATTGTTTGTAAAAGTGAGGTCTGTACACATTGTGTGCTGCTGTGTTACAATAGACAGAGTTGGGTAAAGGGTTTTCTAGTTTGGATTGTGTTCGAAATAAAGCCATTGGTCTTTCTTTAAGTATGCAAGGCTAGTATATGCCTTGTCTTTGAAGTATCAGAGAGAAAAAAAGGTTTATACTTCACAGATACTGAGATACAGTTGCATAAATTAGAATAAGAGAAAATGTTGGGTGAGCTCTTTAATGGCAGAACTGTTTGCCTTTTGTAAAAATTTTCTTTCTACAGCTTTCCAAATTGATGAGGAAAGATTGATGATAACATGTAAAGTAACTTGATTGACTTGCAGCCAGCTAGTTATGGGCTTCCTGTGGAGCTGGGCCTGTGTTCATGCCAAGAACTCGATTCTCAGTATTTTTCATGGCTGTAGTCATGAGTTCTTTTGCTTTATTTTGCCCAAATTGTGTTTTAGAAGTCAAAAATATTTAGCACTATTTTTACCTATTACAAAATTAAAGAGACTTGGTTCAAAGAAAGATACTGAAGCTGTACTTCTTTCTTCAAAGGGTCTGAAGGGGCTGTAGTCCCTTTGCTGGTTGGCGCCCCCCCCCCCCCCCCCCCAGCCTTTAATTTGTAAGCATTTCTTTGTTGTTGAGTTTATAATCGTCCTACATTGTGTAATTGTGCAAAATACTCATCCTTATTATTTCCATAAAAAGTATTTAGTAAGGGCTCCATTCTGAATTAGTAGTGTCAGACCAGCTTCAGTTTTTTCCTTTCTTGTTGAAGACACCTAGTCTAGGGAATACTGACTGTTTGGAACAATTATCTTTGCAACTGAGACTTTCTCTGATTTGTCTTATGTTTGGTTGGCGTTGTCTGTTTTAACAGATATTTCTGTACTCGTATCAGCAGTTATGATTTTTCCGTCTGCATGTTTTTCTAATGTTTTCCCCAGATGCGGTAACAACTTCTGTGCCAGCCATCGCTATGCTGAATCACATGACTGTACATTTGACTACAAGACTGAAGGTCGCAAACTCCTGGAGCAGAGTAATCCTCTTGTCAGTGCACCCAAATTGCCAAAAATCTGAGGAGTGTGCTTAAAGACAAAATCAGTTAGCATGTGTTAACTCAGGGCTGATTATTCTTCTGCATGTGTATTGTTTTGTGTTTTTTCTTCAGTAGAGCGTATCTTGATTTATGCTGAAACCAGGAGGAAATAAATCTGAATGAAATTCATGATGGCTGTGCTTGCAAGAAAGAAACTTTTGTTACTGGTTTTGATTTGCTTTAATTGTTTTGCGTTTAAGAAAACTTAAGATGTAGTTGAGTGCTTCTGATATTGTCATTTACCCAAGCAGCATTCACATGAGATATATATGCTTGTGCTGTGATTTTTTATTTTGGAAAAAGTTCCGTTGCTCATCAGACCTCCATTTCTTGTTTTTTAAAATTTATTATTTGTAATTACATTTTTCTTTAGTTTAAGTTTTAAGTCTTGCTTACAACAGTAAGGTATTTTCAACTGCAGTTTAAAAAAACCCATTAAGGATACTGTATATTTTGGGAAAGTTTTGTTTCAAAAGGTACATAAATAACAAAAATGGCTTTTCTTGGACCCCCTCATTAATACTGTAGTACATATTACATAGTTGTGCCTTTTTGAGAAGTCATAGGTGTTTCAGAAGAGTGATGTTTTGGAAGCCATCTTTGTTGGATGATATAGATACAATATTTCTTCTCTAATTTTGTCTTCTTTGGTAGAGTATGATTAATAAATGTGGACCAAATGATGACTTTAAAGAAGATTTGATGTTTCAAAAGCTATTTTGTCAAAGTCAGTTGCATTGAGAGTGGTTGTGTTTTACAGGAAGCTTCTCTTCTTTAATGTTGATAGTACTGTGTGATGGTGTTGTCAGTTTCTTGTGGTCAATATAGTTAATCAGCATACCTCTGCACTTACAGATTCTAAAATTTCTATCTGTTCGTGAGTTGGACCAAGCGAAGCAAAAGTATAAATGTACAGCAAATAAAAAAGACATTGTAGCAACCCTTTGTTTTTATCGTTTATTTGGCTTTTGAATGGCTTTACCATATTTGCACTATTGAGCTTTTAAACGTACATATTTTCTGTTTATTTTAGTTTTTCGTTAAATTTCAGTTAGTTGTCTTTATGTAACTGGCGAAGATACTTTTTGGATTAGTAGATCTTGAAAGCGATAATTATGTTTGCACATTTTGGCAACCCCCCCCCCCCCCGAGATTGTCATTAGGTTTAATTAGATAAAATTTAAAGAATTATTACTATTTGTGAAGCACCATGGGAAAATCAATCCTGTGTCGCAAAAATAGCAGTGTAGACTAATCACAAATTTATGAAGTACATTATCTCCTCAGTAAATGGGATTTTACTGATTTTGAGTATGTTAATTAGAATCTGAGATATAAACCAGCTGGGTTTGAAGTTGAGACTTTTCACTTTCTGCGACATAAATGCCATCTTAAAAAATCATCCACCAACCCCCACCCTTCCCCCAAAACACTTTTTTTGTTATTTCAAATGTTTTATTTTCAGAACATATAAATAAAATATTGGAAGTTTCTCATAATGCAAGAACTGTTTTTCCATAAAAATTATTTCTTTTTTTCCCACTTAATCAGCAATATCTCAACTTCAGGACTAGTGACATCTGACTGATTTTTTTCTACGACACCTCACATTTTATGGAATGTGCTGTTTTGTATGCAAATCTGTCCTTCCATTTACAAGTTAAAGGCATTATAAAATATTTTCTAAGCTTCCAAATTCCCTAACACACATCTCGTTAAGATTTTGTCTTGCTCAGTATGTAAAACTGCTAAGGCTGTGGCGTCAGTGGCCTAGCGGTTAGGCCACCACACTCAAAATCGTGAGGTTGTGGGGTCGGGGGTTAGAGCAGCGGGCCCGACATTGTGTCCTTGGGAAAGGCACTTTACACAAATTTTTCTCTCTTCACCCAGGTGGAAATGGGTACCCGGCCATAGACAGCGAAAGATCTTGTTAGTATGTTAGTGTTTTAGCTCCTATAAATGGCTGCTTGCACTGTATGCTTCTCAGGAAGTTGAGTTTCTCTCAGGTCTGCTGGGGTAATAGTATAGATTGTGAAGCGCATAGAGCCTGCTGTTGAGCGGGGATTTGCGCTATACAAATGATATCTATTATTATTATTATTAGGAGGACAGCAGAAAGTAAAAGTCAAGAGAACAAGAGTGGTCTGCAATTTTCAGTTATGAGAACAGTTTCTGTGTTATTTTGAGTTAAATGTGAATTAGTTTTCAGAGATGGCAACAACTTTGATCCTTTTGACTTTTCCTGTATTTTGTTGTACTGCTTGGTTTGCTTTGTGTGATTTTGCTAATTTGTTTGACAGACATAGGAGCTGGGAGAAGGTAATTAACGATACTTATATATATGTTTCTTTCTCTTTGTAGAAGAAAATAACTAATATTTGTGAAAACATGTTGTAGATTCATATTTGTGTTAGTTTTATTTGTGCTTTTTCTTGGAATAGAGTTTGATGTGGCAATAAATGTTTTTAATGTTTTGATAATTGTTCTTAATGGAATGAACTATCAGATTCAAATGACACTTATGTACACTTATATGCATCCTGTTACCAATGTGAATCCTAGTTTCTTGCGCATTAAAAAAACTTTTATAGAGACTGAGATACAAATGGTTGGCAGACTACAGTTTTGATTTGTTATTTAGTGCTTACCAATACATGTATATATATTTTTGTACTGGCATGAAGTTTTGGTGTATCAGTCAAGACTTATGTCGACACATGATGAAATTGTCTTTCATTTGTTAAGGAGTTGTGAACATGAAATATGGCAAGATCTGCTGAGATGAAAAAAAAAAGGGAACCTGCTCTTGAAGCTTCTGATCTTTTGTTTAAAGCTTATTCATCTGCAAGTTTAAAAAAAAATAAATAACAGATGCTTTTGTATTATTTGGTTGGTTTTTTTAAAAGCATTGCTTTACATTGATATTGCTTTCTATTTTGTGGATGTGAGTGAATGTTTGTTTTGGTCGACTTATGCAATTTTAAATTCAAATTTTATTGAGATAATTATAATGGCATATTTCCCCCCCCCCCCCTGCTCTTTCTCTTTTCTCTCCTTCTCCCTTCATACTTTTTGATTTCTACTTGTGATTTTTTTCATGTGTGATAACTCCATTTTAAGGTTGGGAGTCTAATTGTTCCTCTATATTGAAAAATGATATGAGCTTATAACCAAAAGACATTTTTACATAATATATATATATATATATATATATATATATATATACACATATATTTTTCTTGCATTGTTGCTTATGTTTCTTTTAAAAGGAGAGGATGGTGGTTTTCTGTTGTTTACACCCATTTTGGCTCTGTAAAGTTTCAGTTTCTTGAAAACACCTTTGTTTTGTTAAAATGATATACACAAAATCTTTTATGTGTTTTCATAACCATTGTATTTTGAAGCACTTTGGTACAAATTTATAACCTGCTTCTTTTGCTTCTCATTCTCATGCCAAAGTTTGCTCCCACACGTCAAGTTCCACTTTTTTGCTCAGTGCATACTTCTGCCCTTTTAGGGCTTCGTTTCTCACTGCTCTTTTTCTTTTTTTTTCTTCCAACTTCTGTGAAACTTACTTTATTTCATCGCAACTGTCTCATATTGTTGATGAAATCACAAGCTTCTTTTCTTGGTTGAAAAACAGTAGGAGTTTTCATTGACACAAAAATTTTCATATTGCACCATCACTCCTTGGATAGATGCAGGGAGTCGAGACTTTATTTTATGTACTTGTGATCTGCACTCTATTAGGCTCTGCATAGAATGTTATCCTCTGTTTTGTGTTTAGGGTTCGTGGTTGGACTTTGTTTAATAAGAGGAAAACATTGAAAACACCATATCTATAATGGATTTTTTTTACTATTTTATGGAGAATAATGTTTAGAATACTTGTGAATAACCGTTTTAGTCTATTGAGTGTGCCATCCTATTGACACTTTGCATAAATATGTATTATTTGAAGTGAAAGCCAGAACATTTAGCTTTATCTGCTGACATTGACTTGTAATTCATACACCATGTTATTGATGCGTTCAGAGAACAAAAGTGTAACGACAACAGACGTATTAACACTTGCATTAAATGGAAGTTACGTCTGCTCCATTTTAAAACTAGAAGTTGGGTAATGTGTCTGATGTGGGCAACTAAGAGACTTGTAAAGAAGTGCATAAATGAATTACTATTCTATTGGTTAACAAGCGTTGCGTGACTTTTACACTTTAATTCTGTATTTAACCAGTCTTGGTGAGTGAGTTTTAGTTTGCTGTTTTGTGAATAGCTGACTGTTATTATCAAATTATTTTTGTTTCATTATACTGTTTGTTTTAGATTGTAAATATTTCTAATGCTTTTATCCTGTGATGCTGTTGCTGCTGATATTCAGCCATTCTATTTGTACACAAATGAAGAATGGTTTCTCTTTCTAGTTGGTATAGAGGTTTATTTTAGAGCGGTCGAATGACCAAAGAACTTGCACTTGGCGGCTATGACTCGTATTTCGACTTTCGCCATGGCATATCATCAGTGTTGGCATGTCCCGTTCTCATCTTGTATTTGTATTGTTCTTTCAAAGGAGGTTGAAGGAAGCATTGTGTTTCATATCATCTATCGTTCTTCATACATGGACTGCAGTTACTTTCGAGTCATTGCCTAAATCAAGCTGCATATAGATTTTACCTATAATTTTACTATGGATCCTGATTGTTGTTTTTACATCTTTTTGGGGAAAGGCATTGATTTCATGTACTTCGTGCTTTTGCATACCAAAGGGTTTAACAAACACTGTCGCCTTGAACAGATTTTATTGGTTTTGCTGTGATAAAGATGGGCATCAATAAATGAGCTCTAGCATGTGATGAACATATCCAGCAGTTGCCTCATAGCTTCTATAGTGATCTTGTAACTGATTCCAGTGTGCACTCCAGACTCTGCTTTCAAAGAAAGTTGCCTTGGCCAGAACAAAGTTGAGAGTACAACATGTTAAAATCCTCGGGCGTCAGGACCCTCCAGAAAGATCTTTATAGTCTCTTTATGTTTGTCCAACACCTTTGCCCCCCCCCCCCCAAGAAAAACAAAACAAAAACAAACAAACAAAAAACCCCCAAAACTCTGAACCTATTACCGGCATAAGTAATACAGTGAAGCAAACATACCCAGTCTAGAAATCGGGGTGATTTAGCTGAAAGTTTGTATTTGTAAAAATATCATTGATTGTTATTTAAACATGCAGGCAACAGTTGTAGTTAGTCAGCCTTCTGTGTGTCACTGTTTTAATAGGCAAGTGGGTCTGGGTTGCTTTCGTTTTGTTTTTCTGTGTACTTTACTTGAATTCTTCCCCAAAGAAGACAAGAAACTTCCACAATGTTCTGTGATGTGCTATTGTGCACAGTATAAGTGTGAATAAAACATTTCAAGGTATTGACTTTATTTTCGTGTCTGGAAGTTGTTGCTTTTTTCAATTGTTTTCTTGTGAATAGAGAAATTAGATTAACTCTTTATCTCCGAGGGGGGTGATCCCAATACGCTGGGGCCTTTTCTTGGTGCTAAATCAAAAAATGACAAAAACGTCATTAAATCAAAACTAGCAGACCTATAAAAATTTTGATAGTTCTTCATCTGATAAATGGACTTTTGGTATAAGGGACCTGTTTATGGCAATTGCCGAAAAGTAATTTAATGTTGAAGTCGTCGTAAAGGAATGTGCCTGAGCCGCTGTCAGCGGCTGACTGGCACAGTGGTTCTGACCACGAACCGCTGGGAGCGGCTTGCCGGAGATAAAAGAGTTGAGCAAAGTGTGTTTGAGCCATTGTTTTGAATTTCTTCAAACCAAGTAAATTTCAGGTGAATCCCATTTTTTTGGGAGTTTCCCTTTGTCTTTTTCATACGTTATTTTGAATGCTTGAAGACTGTGTGGAATGACATGTTCCCTG